GAGGTTTGGAGCTTCGAGCTCGTGCTTTTATAGTGGAAGCGAAATGCTACCTCTGTAGTCCAAGCTTTTCAGGTACTCCAGACATGGTCGTAATCGTTCTTATGAAATTCTTATCTGCAATATTTCATTTTCCCCTTATAGAACCATACTTCCTCAAAAAATGAACTTTGTCATGGCTGAATTTTCTCATCGAACAGTTTCTAAAGACCCGGAGGTTGTGTTGGATCCTTTGAAGCAAGCGTCCGAAGAGCTTCAGTTGTTGGAGGTATGTTTAGGGTTTAGGGTTTAGTTGTTGAAGTTTCTAGTTATAAACGAATGCACTTTAAGAGTTTCAATTAGGAAGGAAGAACGATTTGACCTTTTGCAAATTTCTCGATTGAATTTTTCGTCTCGTTACCCCTCCTGAATGTGCAAAAAATACATGTTCTTGTCATGCCATATTTGACAATCTTGTATTTAGAGATCATTGCACTGAGAAATTTCAAAGAGATCAATAAACTTAACAGAAGATTTTGCGTTTGATTGTAGCAACTTTATTAGCATCAATGCTTCTGCTTTGCATTCCTTTTGTTTATATCTGTTATTGATAAGTAGATTCTTTCTCTGTTGTTCTCTCCAAGTATCATGAACTGGCAGCCGAAGCTTTCTATTTAATGGCAATGGTATTTGACAAATTGGGGCGGCTTGAGGAAAGAGAAGAAGCGGCAGATTCTTTCAAGAAACATATTATGGCTCTCGAGAATCCTGAGGAAACAGACAGTTCTCTGCTCAATGTATCATGACAACAAGTACCATGCTTGATGCTGTAATGTATTCATTTATGTTTATTTGTTACAGAAATTCCACAACCTCTTGTTGAAGCTTGACAATTACCCGAGTTATCGACAAAATGTGATTCCCAAAATGCCAAAAAAAGAAGTAATTTTATCTAGATCTTTCTTGATGCGATGTTGTGTTGGAAAAAGTTCATTAGGCGTCGGGAGAAGCTGGAGAACACATTTTATTTCTTCCACTTCTCTCGACGCAAAGTAGTGTTGTGTTGCCTTTTCCTTTCTCACTACATAATTGTTGAGGATAGTTAGTAGGAAGTCACACATTGGCTAATTAAGGGAGTGATCATGACTTTGTAAATAAGGAATACATCTCCATTGCTATGAGGCCATTTGGGTAACCCAAAGCAAAGTCACGAGAGCTTATACTCAAAGTGGACAATATTATACTATTGCGAAGAGTCTAGTTCTTAACATGGTATCAGAGTCATGCCCTTAATTTAGCCATGTCAACTGAATCCTCAAATGTCGAACAAAGAAATTGGGACCCCTCGAAAATGTAGTCAAAAGTGACTCAAGTGTCGAACAAAGGATGTACATTGTTCGAGAGCTCCAGAGTCGACCTCAATTAAGGGGAGGCTATTCGAGGGCTTCATAGACCTGAGAGGAGGTTCTATAGTGTATTTTGTTCGAGGGCAGGATTGTTGGGAGGGAGTCGCACGTTGGCTAATTAAGAGAATGATCATAAGTTTATAAATAAGGAATACATATCCATTAGTACAGGCCTTTTGGGAATCTCAAAGCAAAGCCATTTGTGTTTATGCTTAAAGTAAACAAATATCATACTATTGTGGAGAGTCTGGTTCCTAACAATAACCTACTCATGAAATAGGAAAACAGGAATTGTAACCTTCCGGTCTTCGCCAAAACACCATATTCATTCCTTGGGAAGAAATGAAGTTTCAAGGTGGTTTCCTTCTACACCAAAAGTCAAATGAGAGAACTTGCAGTTCTTTTCACTCATGAAGTTGACCATTGGTATAAAGCAAATCAGAGAAAGTTGAGATCCAAAACGTTAAAAATGGAAGTTTATGGTATGGTTCTTTTGGGTTGCAGTCCTATAATATCCACTTTGCTGATTCTTTGCTGTCTTCATGCACTTGAGACCCGTGCAAAGGAGAAAGCTGCAAGACGACGCTCCACATGCCCTGATGTTGAGCTCGGACACGCCACTGATCCAACCAAACAAGGTGCAGCCGCTCACGGCAGCGGTGGTGGAGACAGTGCCGGCTGCGGCGCTGACTGTGGCGGAGGCTGTGGTTGTGACGATTGATCATGACATACCATGTAACACTTTTGAATTCCCCTTCTGCTTAGATTTGTTCTTCCCTCTCTAATGTGAAAATATAATTACATTTATGTCGGGTCCGTGATGTTTTCGTTTCAGGTTTCGTGTTCTTATTTTATCTATACTTAAAACGGTAATTTGTTTAAGAGTTCGAAACTCGACTTTGTTTTTATTATTTAGATTCTTGAAGACGTTTTGTTCATACTTGTTAAGACGTCATTGAAGATGAGAAGTGTTGTTTTTCTAATCTATCTCCGAGAATATTTTTAATTTTATAGTGTCAAATAATGATTACTTTGACCTGATCTTTTTTCTCCTAAATTATTAGGTAATATCAACATAGTTCTTCTCGCATGTTTTGTTCTCTTACATGCATCTTAAGAAAATTTCCGAAACGTCATCCAATATAGAATTACTCTAAGTAAAATACGCTTAACCATGAATTTTGCATGATTGAGCCACCGAAAATAAAAGTACACCTTATTTTTTTTAAGATACATACGAGTGAAGACAAACTATGCTGAAAAGTTGGTCAGTGGGAATAATCTTCCTTTTGACAAGCAAAGAGCATATATATATATTATTCATCCACCGAACAAATTCTCTGTTCTAACAACGAAATATATCTATTTGTTGTTGTATAGAATATTTAGTTTGAGTCGTCTTTTTTTAATAAATTATTAAACAATTATTTACATTATAAATACAAAAAGTGATTAATTAATTTGGTCGGTAATTACTTTTAATGATCTTAAAATCGATCCCGAGCGGAGAGAAATTTGTATAGTTTCGTGTGGTTGAGGTTTGCATGTGGACTTAGGTCAATATTTACCTTAGAATATGTTTAATATGCAAATTTATTAGTTTCTTAATAATAAAGACTTGTCAATACATGACATGGCCATAGACTTTGACAAAAACATTGACTAAATAAATAATTATTATTATATTTATCTATATATATATATATATATATATATATTCAAAATTATTAGAAACTGTGGGAGAAAAATCCTTTAAAATATTTTTTAATTTTTATATTTATCATCACATCAATTTTAAATTCCATTCAAATTTCTAGTCTGAAAAAATCCTGCCCCAAAAGACTCACTTACCCTCAGATTAGGTGGAAGGTGAAGAAGACCCCTTTCTAGAAGGGCCCGAGCCATCTGTGAGATACTATTCTGGAAAAGCTAAAATTCCAACCTTGTGTCAAGACTTAATAGACCAAGGGATAGTTTCAGGTAGACAAGTCCTATGAGACGTAGACCTCTCATAAGGTAACGGAGATGTGCAAAGGTTTCCTTGTGCTAGATGGAGATTGACCCTCAAGTGGAAAGGCAGAAGGGAGCTTGACTGCCAGACCCACTTTTTATATGATAACTAGTGTCTTATCCATTAAACTATATTAGTATTAACGAAGAACGTTATAATAATTATTTGGTTGATTCCGAGAAACAAAAATGAAACTCGAAGATAATTTCATTTAAATACCAAAAGTCAACTAAATGCTTAAAAAAATCTTCCCCTCTTAACTTCTTCATCACTCAATCATTGCCATTGACTTGTTCTTGGGGATTTGGTGGCTTAAGCATTAGATTGGCCACTTCATATAAAAGCATAGAAACTTAACATATTTTTGGGCAATCTGATTGGTTAAGTCCCAAAAGTAGAGATGAGAACTTACGCCATTGTTCTTATAACAAGCGGCTGTGTGATAGCGAGTGCAGTGATTTTATGGTGTGTTTGTAGCTATGGGGGCCGTAAGAAGAAGAAAACAGCGCCACCCACGTACACATCTAGTGCTCTTAGGCCAACGCCAAGGCCAAGCCGTGACCTTGAACTTGGGGAAGCTAAGAATGGTGGGATGACTATTCTTGCTGGGGCTGCTGCTGGCTTAGCTACTGCAGCTGTGGTTACCAGTTTAAGCAATGATGGTGGCGGAGGAGGAGGAGGAGGGGAAGGCGGAGATGATGGTGGCGGTGGTGATGGCGGTGGTGGTTGTGGAGGTGGATGTGGTGGGGGCTGTGGCGGCGGTTGTGGTGGTGGCTGTGGTGGTTGATATATAAGTGTTTGATGTAAAAGTGTTTTGGTTTCCTTTGTGGGTTTGTTTCAATTTCTATTTTTTTTGCATCTTTTCTTTTCTAATAAGAAACATTGTATGTATAATCTTTGCTTTTTATCATTGACTTTTATGTCTAATTTAGATGTTTCATACCACCCCAATTAGTAATTTCGTAGTTTATTTCATCAAGGGTTAGCTTTTTCTTTCGGACTTTCCCTAAAAGTTTTTGAAACGTGTGCTAAAGAGAGGTTTTCATAATCTTAGAAAGAACGTTTTGTTCTCCTCCCCAACTGATGTGGGATCTCATACGGCACTAGGGTTCTAGTACTATTTAGATACGAAGAACTCCTAGAACGACTGCAATGAGTATAAATCCCACTAGCCGCCTAAACGACGAACGTATAAGATTCTATTCACCTCATAGTTGGAAACTAAGAATTGATTCTAACTATTAAAAAGGTTAAATTATATGTTTTATGGACTTTCAAAAAGAAGAAGTTCTTATTTTCATAAAACGAAAAATTATTTATTTTAGTTCTAACATGTAAGTCGAAAAGATTCTTCAGACCGATAGCTCATGAATTAAATAAATAATTAGTTAAATTCTACTCAAAGTTGACAAAGATGTTAACATAACCTATATAATACGCCTCAACGTTACGATCATATACTTCTTAGTACATATTCTTTTAATCCATAAAACTATCATAAATGAATGAATGAAAATTCCAATTTAATTTGAAAACAAACTTGTAAGTCTTTTAATTTCTTCAACATATTAGATTGATGAACTGATGAGATTTGTTTTTTTTTTTAAAACCATTTTTTGTTTTGGGCCATCTGATTGGTGCTGGTTTTAATGTTCAAATCGGGGCTCTAAAAGGAAGGAAACAACAAGACCTGCAAAGACAACTAATGCTTCAAGCTCGCCCCCGACGTGCGGTGATGCTCATTTTGGGTGTAGCAGCTGCTGCTATAGCTACTACACCTCGATCCCCATTTCTGGAGGCACTTCGAACCACTTTAAATGGTCTTGTCTTTGTTCCACACCCTGATCCCCATCCCCTGAGGCACTTCGAACCACTTCAAACGGTCTTGTATTTGTTCCACACCCCGATCCCCATCTCCTAAGGCCCTTTGAACCACTTCAAAGGGTCCTGTCTTCGTTCCACACCTCGATCCCCATCCCCTGAGGCACTTCGAACCACTTCAAACGGTCTTGTCTTCGTTTGGCTGCCGATAGGAACATTCAGGAGGTGGAAATATTGAACTATTAGAGTTACAAATTTTCTATAGGTGCAGCTTTAGCTTGTAACGACGGCTTTAGTTTTTCTCCTAAACCTCGTAAACAAGGAAAGACTCAAAATTAATTCGACTGACCTAAAGAACGGTAAACTCTGTCTTCGACTTCTTTCTTTTCCTCTCCCTTCAAATATTGGACTTTACGGTCTCTTTCCTTTTCTCTCTTTTGCTCTCATTCTCTTCTTATTTTTCGTCAGTTCCAGGAGCCGTCCAACCCCTATCAAAACCCCAATCAACAACCGAGAAAATCTCAAGTCGTCTCTCTAAGTCGGATCGAATCTCCTATTTCTTCTGCCAGTGCGTGTATAATTTCCGTCATCTCTTTGATGTCTTTGTGGGATCGATCCCCTGCATAGAACAGATGGATTTTATCCTTAACTATTATCCAACTACAACCTGGACTCTTCTTTATCCCTTTCGATATCTTCATCGACCTTATAACCTCATCTTTCCGCTTATCACCTGAAACAGCGTGTAAATTAGATAAAATCACGTAAGGTGTTGCACTATTAGGTTCCAGTTCAAAGAGATTATGAGCTGCAAGCTCTGCAACATCAAGACGCAGATGGGTCCAGCTGGCTCCAAGCATTGCTCCCCAAACACCCTCGTGAGGATCAAATGGCATTAAAGAAATCAAATCAACTGCTTCATTGAACCTCCCAGCTCGACAAAGAAGATCAACCATGCACGCATAGTGATCTACCTGAGGTTGAATATTATACAATGAACTCATTAGATTAAAGAATCTCCATCCCTCTTCCACAAATCCCACATGAACGCATGCCGAAAGAACGCCTAGAAACGTGATCTGATTAGGTTCCAGGTATTCATCCTGCATTTTCGTGAATAACTTCAGTGATTCTTTCCCAAGTCCATTCTGAGCTAGCCCAGTGATAATGGAATTGTAAGTAACAACATTAGGAGCCTCAATATAATAGAACATCCTCAATGCATCACCCACATTTCCACACTTTGAATACATAGAAACTAGAGAGTTTTGGATTGATAAATCATATTCCATACTCAACTTTGTCACAAGTGCATGGAACTGCAACCCTTGGCTTAATATTGCTACACCTGCGGCAGCACTAAGGACACAGCTCAAAGTGAGTGGATTTGGCTTGATTGCTTTCTGAAGCATCTCAATAAACCAATGGAAAGCTGTCTCATATTCCTCATTGCTCACGAGCCCTGAAATTACAGCAGTCCAAGCAATATCATCCTTCTCAGGCATCATTTGAAACAAACCAATGGATTTATCAATCATCCCCTTGCTGGCAAATCCAGAAATCAAAGTTGTCCATGAAACGACGTCCTTTTGTGGCATATTCTCGAATAGCAAGAAAGCTTTTTCGATGTCCCCGGATTGAACATAACCTGCAATCAAAGAATTCCATGTAACTATATCTTTCTGAACCATTAAATCAAATATTGTAGCAGCTGCATAAATAGAATGACATCTAGAATACATCGCGATCATAGAATTGGCTAGATAAGCATCGAAGTCGAGCCCCAAGGACAGAACCAATCCATGGATCTGAATTCCTTCTCTATATCGATCCAAACAACCACAGGCTTCAAACAAAACAGTCAAGGTAGTTGCATTGACTCCCACCCTTTCCCTTCTCATATTTAGAAACAATGTGAAACCATCTTTAAAATTTCCCATCTTCATATACCCATTAATCATTGTTGTCCAAGTGACCACATTTCTTTCAGGCATTTTGTCAAACAGCTTTCTAGCATCAACAATCTTCCCAACTTTGCAGAGCCCATCAATCATGGAGCTCCAAGAAACCACACCTTTTTCTTCCATGCCATCAAAGATCCGAACCGCATCTTCTATTCTCCTCGCCTTCAAATACCCATTGATTAACACATTAGACGACACCATACCCGGATTTTCCCAATGCAACTTTTCAGCCATCTCAAACATTCCAACACGCACAAACCCAGTGATCATGGTAGCATAGGAAACAGAATTACGCTGAGGCATGCTAGAAAACAACTCAAAAGCCTCATTTACCATGTTCCTCCGATGATAAGCCGTAATCATCGCATTGTAGGATGCAATACTGCGGTCCGGCATTTTGTCGAACACTTCCTGGGCTTTATTAGTTTCGCCGTTTTCAGCGTATGCAGTGAGCATAGCAGTCCAGGAGACGGTGCTTTTATGAGGCATGCGATTGAAAATGGACTCGGCTTCCTCAATACACCCATTCCTTCCAAGTTTTGTGATCTGGGAGTTGCAGTAGACAAGAAACTTACTGCTTTTCTGGGTTCTAGCAGAGTCAAAACTTTCCCGATTTTGAAGATTTTGGGTCGAGAAATTGAAGGGATGAAGCTTGAAATTGTAAGGGGGAAATTGTTTGAAGACAAGGGTGACGGTTGATTTTGCCGTCATGCTCCGGAAAGCTTCATGCTTGACGAAGGAGAACATAAGCCCTGCAACCCAACGCTCGAACAAAGTCCTATGGCGGCGCTATCTATTTTACCGGGGGAAAAAAAAAAAAAAAAAAAAAAAACTAAATCTTTGTTCAATAATATTCTGTTTTTTTTTTTTTAATTAAAAAATTAAATTTATTAAAAGGCGTTTCCTTTCCCTTTATTTTCTAATATACTTTCAAATTTTGTTTTTAAAATCATAGCTAAATTGTGAAATTATGCGCAAATATTCATTAATATCTCTATTTTAAATAAAAAAAAGATTTATAATAATATGAAGTATAGTTTAACATTTAAGTTTAATTAATTAAAATTTGCTTCTAATAAAAGAAATTCATCTCAATTAAGTTCAAATTTAAAAATGAAGATATCCACCTATACCAAAAACCGACGCGGTCGGGTTGATCAATATTAATACCCTATTCGATAACTATTTAATTTTTATTTTTAAAAATTATGTTTATTTTATTCCAATCTCTTTATAATATCTAAATTTTGAATTAAAAATATATATTTTTTTAGTTTTATGACTTAAAACATCTATTTCTATAGAAAATAGATAACAAAAAAATATATATCTTAAAAATAATTTAGTAATATAAATTAAATTACACCGATGAACTTTTTTTAGTTTTTTTTTTTTTTTTTTTTTTCTTGGCTTCTATCAATAACATTCCTTAAACACTAATGGAACATGCGATACTTAATATGATGTAAAATAGACATTCAAATAGACTCATTAGAAATACCATATCGGACATTTAACAACACATTCCTACAACAAAGACTAAAAAAAATTAGTCGAGATAAGATTTACAACGTTCAAATAAGTTTGATTCTTTAGTCTAAGGATAACTCAATGAATAGAGGCATCGTTTACCATCTCAAAGGAGATTCGATTCCCGCCCTACAAGGCTTGAACTAAAACAACTAAAATTAAATAAGCTTATTTGGATTTATGATTGTGAAAATGAAACATGAACTCTACACCTGTATGGATTGAAAATGCAAAATCTGGAAATCTATATCCTTTTAGATCAATCTGAACCTACTAACAAAGAAGTAACAGCTATTGAAGTAAGGATCAATGGCAAAGATGTAATATTGAACTAGGCCCAGGTCTCAGCAATAGCTCATTTAAAATGGCCACAAAATGAAGTCCTGAAAATTAAAAAAAGCACAGAGAAATATGTCAATGCCAAAATGGATCACCTGCCAAAGAAGTGAAGCATAGATCCCCCCATTGTCAGCAATGCATTTGAAAGAGATGCTTCCTGTCATAATTTCATGTGGAGTACAAAAAATACAACTCCCATTACACTAACCTAATGTTTGCCTAACCCAATTTGAGGCTAAATCAGGACATACTATGGGCTATAAATCTATTTTATTAGTACAACTCAAACGGCAATCAAATAGAAAACACTCCAGAAACGTTCTCAAATTTAACTAAACCGAAACAAACAATAAATTCAATTGTTCTTTATCTTCACGGATCCAAGTTATATGGAAGATCCCACATTGGTTGGAGAGAGGAACGAAACATTCTTTATAAAGATGTGAAACCTCTACCTAATAGATGCATTTTAAAACCGTGAAGCTGATCACAATATATAACAGGTCAAAACAGACAATATCTGCTAGTAGTGGACTTGGGCGGTTACATTATACTTGCTACCTATATCAAAATTTGTAACCATATGTTATATAGTCAAAATGATGATTCTTTTGGGAATATCAAAATTTACTATACTTCAAGATTTCCAACTCTCATGTGGAGTTATTTAGACTCTACTTCTAGCTCTCAAGATCTCTGGCAACATATTTCTTCGACATGGGTTTGCCTATGAAAAGAAAGAGAGATACTCCTTTACCTCCTCTGCCTTCCTCTAAGATCCCTTCTGTAAAAAACCATCACTGCTACACAATTCCATTGTCATTTGAACTTTTTGTTCATCATAAACAGACTACAAAACCTTCTTCTAGATTGAAGACCATCTTGTATAGCTCAATACTTGCACGAGCCAAGCATTATCCGTCTTTCACAACCACCACCCAAGAACCTTATAAATTCCCAAAACACAAGTCACTAGCCCATTCAAGAATTATACAAGAAGCCTCCCCAATTTGAAAAAGTAACCCAAAAGGAGTAGAATTTAAACATCTTATCTATGAAAGCCCAACGAGAACTATTATATTTTGCATGATCAAACACCTCCCTCCACACCTTACAAATACCTCTAAAAATTATATACTTTCTATCTGACCATAGATTCGATCAAATCGCCATTACAACATCATCTCATATCTCGGTACCTTTTCCTTTGAAAAAAGAACTATTCAAAAGCTGTATAATTTTTTTTTTTCTTTTTTTTTATCAATTGTGAACTTCATTAGGCCAGTCCAAGAATCTGATGTGAAGTGAAGAGACTACGATATCTATTAGAATTAGTGATCAAAACAGAAATGTGTACACTAAATTCCATCCCACAAATAATTATATTAGATTTTAACTCTTTTAGACGTAAAGGAATGGTAAATAAATAAACCTAATCCTCAAAACAGATAGCCAAAAGGACAACAGTTACAATGAGAAAGGAAAAACTAAGCTTAACGTAATACCAGCAATTTATCTTTTAAATTAGGCCAATCTGAGTTCAGTGTTCCAATGGTCCAAAGCAATCTGGTGGCCAGACCTAACATCAGAAGAACAAAGAAATATTCAAGAAAGATAAAGAAATGAGGGAGAAATGCATACGAGTCTAGAAAAAAGCTACCATGCAAAGTTCCAATGTACAGAAGAAAGATATTATCCCCATGTAATTAGAGAGAACTTTCATAATCCTGCTGACTTCTTAAATTACTAGAATAAGATCCAAATTATAAACCATGAGTGAATAGAAACACCACGAGAGATTAGAAATTTCTCAAGATCCAAAATTTTCAAACTCAAGTACCCTAAAACCAGCTGCATGAATAGCGATGCATATAGCAAGTAAACAATTACACAATCAAGTGGTTGCATTAAGACCCCCACTAGGTCGTCAGTTTGAATCTTCTCCAACAGATTTGTAATGTAACATTAAAATAAATGATTGCACAGAAAAAAGGCAAACAAATCTGTTATACTAAAAGCCCATCCAACCAACATTTGGAAACTCAAGGATAACAACCATTGAAGGAAGAAACATAAGTAAACAATGATCAAAACAATTCATTTCCTCAAGTACAACATAAAAGAAGGGAAAACTAATACATAAGTAAACAATGATCAAAACAATTCATTTCCCCAAGAACAACATAAAAGAAGGGAAAACTAATAAAAGCAGAAGTAATGATGAAGATGATTGATAAATCTTACTCTCAAAAACACTTTCCCGTCAATCAGACCATAAGGTACAGGTCCGAAATGCCGCGAATCACTAGAAGCATACACATTATCTCCTTGAATCCACACATGACCTTTCGGAACCTAAGCATCCACCCCAAAAAAGAAAGAGAAAAACTAAACAAAGAAACAAATCAAACAACACCAAAAAACCAAAAATCAAAACCAAAACGAATTTTCAAATTTCAAATCATGATCACTAAATTCAGGTCCATCAAACCATACCACAGCCGTCAGACACCTATTGGAATTGGCAGGGTCCGGAAAGAAATTGACCTTATCCCCCTCAACACCCACAATGCGCTTCGTCAAGGTCTTCCTCGGATTCAGAGGAGATCGAACCAGCACGACGTCGCCGGGGCCAACCCTGCCCACTCGGTGCGACACACGTTCAGCCAAAAGAACATCGCCGGTCAGATTCAAGGTCGGAAGCATGCTAGGCCCGTACACCTGAAACCACCAGATATTGAAGTTTTCCAAATTAATCAAAGCAAGAAATAGGAGACAAAAGGTAGCGGAGGAAGAGGAAGGAGTAAGAGAGAAGTACAGACCAGAGTGGGAGAACAGAGATAGTTGTTGGTAACGTGAAGCAAGCAGAGGAACTTGGCTATAATGGCTGTGCGATCGATAGCCTCCTTTACTATGCTTCTCCACTGTCCCATGGAAGCTCTCTGTCACTCTGAACTTTCTCTGTTCTTCGCTTGGAGAAAGCATCGTCGACCTTTGGTGAAGACGAAGTTGAAGAGATGGGCCGGAATCATTGGGCCGGCCCATAACATCTAATACAATACATGGCCCACAGGTTAAATTTTGGCTCAGACCTCTTACAATAGTATCAAAAGTATAAAAACCAGACACCGAATTATGTACCAGTAAAGATGCTCGACCTCCAAGGGAGGTGGATTGTGAGACCTCACATTAGATGGAGAGGGAAACGGATCATTCCTTATAAGAATGAAGAAACCTCTCCTTAGTAGACGCGTTTTAAAACCGTAAGACTGACGACGATACGTGACAGACGGGCCAAAGTAAACTATGCGAGGGAAGAAAGTGTATACATTTTATTAGAATTTAGTGTACAGAAGCTATCAGAAACAGGCATTCATGTCAGACAACTTGCAAGAAATGTTTAAGTGAATATAATACTATGAGCAGTTATTTGCAGCTCAACATATTCAACCAATATACAAACCAGCCAGCCAGCAACATAGCAGAGCTTGTGTGATGCCAATGGCAAAAGGTAATAGAGACTCTCTTTTTTGATTTCTGAGGGATTGCAGAAGACTGTATATCCTTTGGTAAGTTCCTTAACTAAACTAATCGATCCGTTCTAGATTAAACGTCACCATATCCTCGAGCGCGGACCGAAAGGCACTTGGTGGAAGGCATTGTAGGTTTTGGATAGCAAGATCAGCCTTCTGTTTAGCTAGTTCCTGCGCTCGTTCAATGCCACCACTGCTCTTGACTATGCCGATAGCTTCGTCGAGAGACCCTGGCTCGCTGAACTCTGATCCGATGATGTCTTTCAGTTTCGGGTCTCTTTCAAGAGCAAATATAACTGGGGCTGTAAGATTTCCTTTAGCTAGATCACTTCCTGCTGGCTTCCCAAGCTGCTTTGTTGATTGCGTAAAGTCCAATATGTCATCGACAATTTGGAATGAGAGACCGAGATTCCGCCCGTACTCGTACATCTTCTTCGTCGTATCACGATCAACCCCACTAAAGATTGCAGCACCTTTGGTACTGGCAGCAATCAAGGAAGCTGTTTTATAATAGCTTTTGATCAAATATTCTTCCAGTTCAACTTCACAATCAAACAGGCTTGATGCCTGCTTTATTTCACCACTTGCAAAATCTTTAATAACCTGCAATAGAACTAATTGAATCTTATATAAGCTAAAGGTTGCATATCAAGATCCAGTTATACTCATAATTCATACATAAACGTCGATCGGATATTACAGATGTACTAAGTGGGAACCAAATTTACCTGACTGATAAGCTTAATGACTTCGAGGTTTTCGAGATTAGCAAGACACCACGACGACTGTGCAAACATGAAATCTCCAGCCAGCACCGCCACTCTGGTACCGTATAATTGATGCAAGGTTTCCTTCCCTGGAACCCATCAGGACAACAAATATGTTGCTGAGCCAATGGAAGTTGTAGGAGGAAAGGGGGAAGGGATAAATAAAGTGACACATTGCAAATGTATGAAAAGACAAGATAGAAAAGCTTGAAACAATCTCAAACTTGACGCCATATTATTAAACTTATTCTATCCCTTGATGCTCTTCTCTATCTTTCAGTAACCAACCCTTCTATCCAAACAAAGTTGTCACCAGAAAAGGTATTGAAGTCGGGCAATTATATATGCATTTGGTAATAAAGTTAAGCTATTCGTTTCCGAGCAACTACAAGTTACAATTGCGACTTGTCTCGAAACGAGGGAGGAGTGCAACCATGGCAAACAAGTGATGAACCAATACATGTGCAACAAGCATAGTATCATCAACTGTGAGAGCCCTTATCGATTGGAGAGGAGAATGAAACATTTCTTATAATGGTGTGGAAACCTCTCTCTAGCAGACGTGTTTTAAAATCGTGAGGCCGACGATGATACGTAATGGGCCAAAACGGACAATATCTGCTAACGGTGGGCTTGGATTGTTACAAATGGTATCAAAACCAGGCACTGGGCGGCGTGCTAACGAGGACGCTGACCCCCCAAGAGGGGTGGATTGTGAGATCCCACATCGGTTGGATAGGAGAATGAAGCATTCGTTATAAGGGTGTGAAAACCTCTCTCTAACAGACACGTTTAAAACCTTGAGGGGAAGCCCTTGATGGGAATATCCATAGCGGACAATATTTGCTAGCAGTTAGCTTGGGCGGTTACAAATGGTATCAAAGCCAGACACCGAGCGGTAGACCAGCGAGGACGCTGGCCCCCAAGAAGGGGTGAATTGTGAGATCCCACATCAGTTGGAGAGGAGAACAAAACATTTCTTATAAGGGCGTAGAGACCTCTCCCTAGCAGACGCGTTTTAAAATCGTGAGGCTAATGACAATACATAACGGGCCAAAACAGACAATATCTGCTAGCGGTAGGCTTGGGCTGTTACATTAACATTGATACATTTAAAGTGACATGTCTACCTAGAGCCTTATTATAAGAGATCGACATGTGGTCATTTCGGTAAGCACAACAATGAGGAATGTGGGGAGTCTTTTCTCCACATCTCCACGATGGATTGCCGTCTCAACAGAGATGATGAAGAAGAAAACAAATGGAGTGAATTCAGACCAAATAGAAAATGGCCCACTAATGCCCATTTCCTAGTAACAATGAGGAAATACAAAATTAATTTGCATTATTTGAAAATCATGTCAAACTCACTCTTATTACATAGGCATTAAACAGACATAGGTACTCATTGATTTATGTGGAAAGCATCGACAAGAACTTCCAAACTTTGCACACGTAAAACGAGCATACCTCTCCTCATATCACTATCGTCTAATACATCATCATGTATCAAGCTTGCAGTGTGGATCATTTCAATGATCTCTGCCAAACGCCGATGCTCGACAGTGAGGTCCCTGGAGGCAATGCAACCAAAATAATAATTGAATTCTTTTCAATCTCATATTAAGCTCAGATTTTCAGGAACATGTTTAGGCCTGGTAGAAATTACTCACTCTAACCCAACTAATCCGGCTGTTGCTCTTGACACCAGGAATACTAGAGCTGGTCTCATCCTCTTCCCTCCAGCACCAAATATCCGCTGAGCAGCAGATACCAGGGCTGGGTTTTCCTTACCAACCATCTGCAGGGCATTTCTATTAGTTGCATGACTAAAGAACTTTAAGACTTCAAATTAAGCGTTACGAGAATAAAGATCATACGCTAAATGAAATCATGTCAAATAAAGAAGAAAGATAGTATTAAAGACTTCCAGATTATACGCGATCAACATATCAGAACATGAAGAATCCTAATATACTATTCATAAAACAGTGTCCATCCTATTATGAAATGGCAGAAGCCTAACAACGGAAGATGAAGAACTATCAGAACAAGGAAATCTAGGAGTTTGAAATTATGAACTGATAACACTAACTTGTATAATAGCAATTTGATGCGTATGCAACGTGAAACTTGAAGCAATATATAGTCATCCTCAATGTGCTACATCTAAGTTAATATGTGATCCAGACTTCACAGAAAGAAATGGCACAGGTTCCCATCCATGATCAATTTGTTAATGATAAAACGTTGAAAATAAGAGGATAGCATTGGTGCTTCTTAAATCAGCATTAGAACATGTACAGTCCTACCAAAAAATAATACTATGCATGTACGATCTTTGATGAAATACCAATTTGGTTCTAGAAATGATGATAGACACAATTTTTTGCTATTGAAATCATTCAAATCCATCAAAGCCTTCTTCATGAGTGCCCTCACAAATTCTATGCCTTCATTCAATTTTTTTCCAAGAACAGTAAACTGAACAGTATTAGTAGTACTAAAAAAAGGAACTGAAAATAGCTCCCAAACTCAACCTAACATGCCTATCTTTGATCTAGCTACAAGGAAATGCTTAAGATTGTCTGTGATTAAAGTTTTTGCAGTATAACTTTGATTTAATATTTTATCTTGTGAGTTACTTTATCAATCTGCATAATTTATACTCCAAGTATCCAATGAGGTTAAAGTCATCCACGTACTAATAAACCATTGAAAGCATTCTCAGCAGCAATAAAACCCCAAATCTATATAATACAGTGCTAAGTTCCCTGCCACTTACAGACAGAAGATTTTGGTTAAGCTTCTGGAGATCATCGGCTACAACTTCAAACAAATTTGTCGACGAGATTGGGCTTTTGGACTCCTTCCTCAGTTCTAAGAATGGTTGAGGGCCACCAGTAATGCCTGTTTTAGCAAAAAAAAAAAAAAAAAAAGAAATAGACAAGCTATTACCACGAGCTTTTGCAACCAACCAAGAGAATATGGAGCTGCCGAAAGCCAAAAATTTACTTGCCATTCAATGCAGTTTCCGATTTCGTGGTTGAAAACACTCTGCACTGGCCAACGTTTCGACGGGAACAAACCAAAGTTCGAGTTTGGTGTCGCCTCTTTCTACTCTTAGTACACGGTTTAACGTGACTCCTAATCGTATATCGATCCAATGGAGTATTGGAAGAACAATCACAAGCAACATAATCCAAAACATGCCTTCCAAAATCAAGGGTCTGGCATATGACAGACATCATTCCTAGTCAGACCCAGAAATCTAAACCCACCAAATATCAAGCAAAAATCGACAAACCCAGCTCAAAAAACCACTCAACTTCTCATAGACATATCATCAAACACCTAATGTGCACAAAATAAAAGATGGGTATGGAAGTAGAACCACGAAGAGAGAATTCAATGAGCTTCATACAGGTCATTAACATGGAAATTAACCGCTTTAGCAGAGATTGATAGATCACAAGTGGGAGATAAATTGAGTGGATAGAAGAACCCCACATAGGGGCTCTCTTATTTTCTTATCAGTAGCCAAAGAAAGTTATGAAGTAGGTGGCGCTCGTACCAAGAGGGAGTCTTTTTGCTTTGAGGAGGAACCACGGGCCGTGTATGAGGCCTAAGCGCCTTGTAAGTAGGCGACAAATCCACGGCTTCTTCGCAGTTTAGTGGTTGAGCTGAAGCCAGCTACTGCCGCCTCTAATTCTTATTGGGATCAGAAATGGGGCATCCAAATTCCCATTTCAGTGATTTTGGTGAATTCCTCTGATTAGTAATAGACATCAACTTGAACAGAACACAACCCAAGTTGAATATCCGTTACTCAAGTTTGTCCCGTATCCTACATCATTTGTTTAATTCAACAATTGCGAGAATAAAAGGTTGAACTATCTATGCACCGAACTACATCTTTAATAAGCTAATTTCCAATAGAAGTTAGTAGTGTTTCGTTCCAAAAATACTCCTCATATAGTGATGATCGTGAACAAACTTCTGGCAGATATGAAAGAAGAAAACCCTTCCAGACATGGTTCCCTATAATATTTAAGGGTTGGAAGAACCCCGCATCATAGGACCTCCCTAGGGTTGTATTCAAAGATGAATATCCGACTCGAGGAGCCTCCAGTGTCGGATAACTTTCATTGATTCGTAAATAGTTGGTCCATAGTACAATATACAAATCTCCATTCAAATGGTTAATACAGCAATTTGAGTGTGTCTATAATTACATGGCGTGATAAGCAGCAAATGCAGTAACAACAAAAAGACCCTTGAAACAATACCCATTTGAATGGACATGCTGGTTATACCTATCTCTGTTACTCCACTGAGCAGCAATGGCAATGGTTGCCACTCCCAACTTAAGCTCTTGCCTGCAACAGCTTCCTTAAGTGCTATAATGGATGGATCACTCTATGGATCTACTGCTGCTCATGGTCGGGTAATATTCGTTGCTTCCAAAGCGAACGACCGTGCGAGGCTCTCATCAAATGACAGTGCCAGGAGATCAAGGATTGAATTAAAGAAGATTGTTCATTCACAAATCGAAACTTCTAATTTGCGACGTTAGTTTCGAATAAACATCTTTTATGTTTCTGTTCTCACATGGAAGGACGGGCCCGACAACTCGCCCTAGATTTGCAGCTAAACAAAAGTGAGAGCCATATCAGTATCACAGAAGTAGTTGAGCATGGAAGAACTAAAAGAGATGGTACAAAGAGAAATAAGTTCATACCAACAGGCACTTTAGGTGGAGGATGAGCCTTTGATGGATTCCCAAATCTTCTATCAGGTAATCCGACGCTATTATTACAGGCTTTAGGATTTCGTCGAACGGGCTCACGATCGGGTGAAACCAAATTTGTGCAAACGGTGGACCTAAGTTCGGTTGGAAAGTTACTGAGTTTGTAAGAACACAACCCGACATTCAAACACCTACCTAACTATATGTTATAGTAATAATATGGACTCCTTGGCCATGACATTATACGACACAATCACGAAAAGACTCGACACACACTCCCAAGCGTGATTAAGAGGCATGGAAAAAACTGCATACCGTGGGAGGGAGAAGTGTTTCCGTTCTAGAGGCAAAACAGGTGCGCTTTTACCGTCGTTTTCCTTGTGGTAGGTGAATTGGCTTTTAAAATGACCTGTAAAGCTGAAAAACAATAGGAGACTGACACACTACAAACTACAAAATCAGCTAAAAAAAGAAAGAGCTCGACAACGTAAACGAATATGTAGTCGAACCTAGGATAGAGGAGCTTTGTAGTATCGGTTCCATTGAAATAATCATCACGAATTTGAGGATGATATTCTAATATTTCTCGGTATAACAATTCCCTTACATCATCTTTTGTTAATTTTCGTCTCTCAAACTCAAATTCCGATCTCGAGATAGGCTGACAAGAAGGCTCTCTTTCAACTTTGGCTAGGCCCTTGAAGTAAGGATCAGCAAGAGCCTGTCAACATATAAAGGAGGAGAGTGATTTCTCTGAACACAACTTCATAATCCCCAGATTCACATCTGTGGAACAACAACAAAAATATAAAACTTTTACCTCCACGGCTGATGGTCGATCCTTCGGATCAAATGCTAATAGCCTTTGCAGTAAGCGAACGGCTGCCGGATCCAAATTCGGAAATCTTTGTGAAAATGGCACTGCAGATTTCCTTCTCATTTCTAACAGATATCTCCTAGCCTTTTCATTCCGAACCTAAACAGTATCGACCGATCAATAAACAAAGAGGGGATGGAGGAATGGATGAGGAGAGATAAAAACACAAGCAAGACATACTCCTGCAATGGTTTCCGATGAGGGAGTCCCGAGAAGATCAGTAATCAAGTCCAATTGATGGGCAACGCTTTTACCCGGAAACAGTGGCTTCCCCAACAAAACCTCAGCAAATATGCAGCCGACACTCCAAATATCGATCGCAGGAGTATACTATAAACAGGATAAGATAACGAACATTAGAAAACAAAAAAAGAAGTAACCATGAACAAAAACTTCAGAAAAACAGATGTAACCTGATACAATTACCTGAATGACAGATATTTCAACTTCCAGGACAGTTCAACAGTCCCCCCTGAACAAGAATTATTATAATCTATGCATTATTGTTTCCTATAAAGCACTAAATACATTACATACATTTTATACATGATCAAAACGAACGTAATTCCAACTGAACCATGGCCATTTCATCCCCTGCCCACCCCCCCCCCCCCCCCCCCCCCCCCC